TGCTTGATGCAAACAAACATATACACACAAATTCAAGAAGGGGCAACCCGATGATAATACAAAGGCAAAAGGAAAAATGTATGCAATAAGTTTACACTTTAATCTAGTTCTCCTTTTCCCTTTTGTTACTATTTTAGAATTGTAGCTCTGCAATTTTTGTAGAAAATTTGTGAAATTTTTTCTTTGGCAAGGAAATTGTTACCCAAGTTTTACTGTTTTAAAAATGTTTATATAACTTCCAAGAATAATTTGTGCTTAATTATCAGTGATATCACACCCTTTAGACTTTTGGTTTTTAAGCCCAACCATAACCAGTATTTCCCCAGGATTGTAGTCACTCCCAGTGGTCTGAATTTAAGTAGCAGTAATCCTAGCCTTGGAAAGACAAAGGAACCTGAAGATACTTTATGGAAAAGAAACTGGCACTTAAATCAGGTCTAGTCCATCAAAGGATAAAGAGCAGAACACTCGGGCCCAAGAGAGCAGGAGTAGGATGTCTTGGATGCCCAGATAAGAAAAGGAAGAAAGGCATTGTTGGTCAAGCCAGAGTAGGGTCAAACATGTAGGCCTGTGAACCCTCAGGAGTGGGAAAGGGACATTCATTCTCTGCTTGACCTTTTATACACCTAGCTCAAAGGGAGGACCCTTGGCCTTGGAGGTGTAGCCCTTGCCTCCAGAATCAGGTGAATCCTGCCACTGGTCAGCTCAGGACTATAAAAGCTAAACCTCATTTGGAAAGGAAGCTTTGTGCCCTCTCAGGTACATGTTCGGTGTCTGCCCTGGTGCAGTGGGGACCAGAGAATAGTGCAAATAACCTTAGGGTACCAGAAAGGGGAGGAAAAGAAGAGGAGCAACATGGCCAAGTCCAATGTAAGAAACTGCCTTCGGGGATTTCCCCACATTGGTATTCTTTCAACCTCCAAACTCAGTCTTTCTAGCCTCTGCCTTATAGTTTGCCTCCAAAGACCAACTTTCCCATGCCCGTTTTAAGCCCATTGAAGTACATCTTCAACCCTTAGTGTGGCAGGTCTCCTTGGATCTGATTTCTCTTCTGATGGCTGTTCCCGCCTGCCCCTGGTCTGACTTCATTATCTTCCTTGGGTAGGCGGTTTCCTTTCTTAGCTTTCTGTTCACTTCTTGTCACCTCTTTCTCTTTCCTGCCATTTCTCCCATCACACTTTGCTGGCCTTCAATCATATTGGTGTCCAATTCAGTTTGTCCCCTTACTATTGTTTTCTACTTCTGGGGGGTGATTATTTTCTTAAAGGGAATGTCCTTCTTATTAATGTTTTTAAACAACAACAAAAGTTACGCTAACAGGGATCTCTAATCCCTTGATATACTGAAAGGGCGTAGAGGATGGGTATAATTTGGGGGAAAGAATGGCTGTTGCTTGTAGGAGGGAGAAGCAGCAGGGAGCCGGTTGCCCTTGTAGGGCCAGGGCTAGAGGAGGAGCCAGCAGTGGCCCTCTTCAAACTCTGTAGGCCTCCAGCAAAGGAGGTGGTGCTAGAGCTGCAGGCCTGCCAGGTATGGTGGGAGCACTCTTTAGGATCTTATTCCAGAAACTCTCTGCCTTGACTATTGGCAGTGAAGCAAAGGATCAGTTTCACTCAATGTTGTCAAACCTTTCTATTGCACCCTGGAGATGACTTTGAAAAGCACCAAAGTGATTTCTAGAGCCTCTTAGCTCTCACAAGTAGTATGCTGTTGGTAGCCCTTCTTGTCAGCTGTGGCTTGGGGTAAAACACAGAGAACTCAGTAACCTATGTAGAAAAACACTGGAAGATTCCAAACATTTGTTGGAATGATTTCTAAAGAAGCCTAGAGAAAGTACGTTGAGTTGAGATCATGGAGTTGCCTTTTAAGTGGACTCCATAGGGGTCACTTCTCCCTCAAAAATCTCTTTGTGAATTTCTAAGAAGAAAGGGGTCTAAAGAGCATTGACTCAACCTGAGCTCAGGACTCCTGGTGGGCTGACTGACAAGCTGGAGGAGCATATTTGTGGCAGTGTGATCTGTCCTGCCTCGTGGGCTGCCCCTCCATTCTCCCTGCTGCTCAGATTGGCTCCACATTCTCCTGCCTTCACACCGAAGAATTTGCACAAACAAAAACCTGCCCATCCCCACATCTGCCCAGTGAAATCCTACCTCTCTCCTCTAGGCCCAGCTCAAATGTCACCACCTCCATAGGACCCCCCATGGGTATCCTGTTGGAAGTCCACGTTCCCTCCTCTAGACTGACCATTCGGTCGAGAACTTATCTAAACTGTAAAAGCTGGAGAGTTAGGATATTGTCCTCCCCGCCCCCGCCCCCCCATAGGCCATAAGGTAAATGTGAAAAGTAGATTGCTGAGCCAGAAAGGCTCAGAAAGGTGATGCTTGTTTTCTGAACCATTACACACTGTCCCTGTGTGTGGAAGTACCCCAAAAGGGTTCCTCACAGCCTTTTCTTTCTGAAGGCACATTCAGGTCTGCAGATGTAGGGTTTGAGCAGCTGTGGCAGGATATCTCTGGCCATACAGCCCATCTTTTCCAAGCTAAAGCTGACCTGATCAAAGGCCACTTTGGAAACAGCTCTGTCCTAAGAGCCACTAAGAACTGTGGAGGCAGGAGTCGGGGAGGAAAGACAGACATCAGAATTCTTGTATGATCCTGAGTAGCAACTGGCCAACTGAGGGATGAGAACGGGCAGCATAGCCTTTCACCTTCGGGGTCAGCAGCATGCCTGGCTGCAGGGCAAGAAGGCTAGAACATCTGTCAGCTGGGCAGCAGCTCCTGTGTATGAATTGCCTTTGTCTTGTTGGTGTGGGGGGGGAGGGGGGAACGGATGTGTTTGCTCAACAGAAAGCCATGCAAACTAGGGATCAAAAGGAAGCCCTGGTGATGGCAAGAAGCCCAGGCGCCACCAGACAGAAGATGCCACCCACAATGGAAAGGAGTGCATAGGGGCTCAGGAGAAAGGGTCCTCTGTTTTGGCAGAAGGTACCTCGCTTCTGTATGGAGCCTTCTGAGGCAGAGTATTGAAGGAGCCGGAAAATGCCTTTGTTGGTTCCCAGGAACCTGATGGAGCTGGCAGATGGGGGCCTGGCCCCAGGCACTTGCCTTCCTTGCTTTCTGCTAGCTGTAGGAACAAGCTCACAGTAGCACTCAGCTCAGGCCTCATTTTTCTAATTTGAGGAAAAGCAGTGATCCATGATCCCAAGGGTGATTCTTTGCTCCCGGATCAGCTCCTTTTTTTGCACTTTGTTACAGCCCTGCTGGCTTTTTCTCAGCAATAGCTAAAGTGGGACAATAGCATTAGTGATTGAGGCAAACTCTTAACTACTAATGCCAAGAGTTCCTGAGAAAGCAAGGATTCAGGGTTTTGGAAGCAAACATTACACAAGGTTGATTGGCATGGAAGGGAATGTCCTAGGACTGTTCAATAAAAGAGTCCTTTAGAATTTCATCATAGAAATGGCAGAGCTGGAAGAGTCCTTAGAAACCATCTATTCCATTTTTCCCCTCCCTAGGCAACTGCTTCCCTTCTACAGATGAGAAAGTGAAGTGGATGGTAGTTAAAGATGAGGCATTTAGTGTCAGGGCTAAGCTGGGGAAAGAAGCCAGGTCTTTCTGATTCCCATGTGAATGCTCTCTCCCCAGAGATAGAATTTGTTTCTGGATTTCTTTATGTTAATTTCCAAGACACACATGCTCACGACATATCCCCAGCTAAACACCTTATCATTGCAAGCATCATGAAGTGGCCACATCATTACTGAAGGGCATAAAGGATAGTGAGATGTCAATGTAACTTGTCAAACATGCCAGGGTCAAAGTTAAAACATTAATTTACTACATTTTATTTTTTATGGCACGGGCTCAATAAAACTTCAAGTTATTCTACAAAGTCTAAAAAAGATAGACAACCCCAAAATACAGAGAAACTTAAATGGCATTTGGGCATTAAATCTCAGCTTAGAGTCAGTGGACAGATGACCTTATTTTATCAGGTGGTGGGGCATGACCCAAGTGAGTAAGGAGGGGCAGTTTGGTTTTACACTACCCCAAATGGTAGCTGCACCCCAGCTGGCGGGTCCTCCCTGGCTCTCAGTGCGCGTTTCCTCTGTGTAACCGCTGCTATGCTCTCTGGGGTGTGTTGGTTCTATGACAAGGGCCAGGGAGCTGGATTTGGAAAGTCCCCTCTCTGCCTCTTAACTCATTCTTCCAGGCCCAGTTCAAATGTCTTCTCTGTGAAGCTTTCCTGGGTCCTCCCCCCATTCCTCAGAGTGGCCCCAATACCCCCTCCATTCTAACGTCCCCACGGTGGCCCTATTCACCATGTCCCTTACAGCCAAAGTATGAGGTGCTTCTGCTAGGTCTCCCAGCCCTAGAGGTGCCCTTGTTTGTAATTCCCGGTGTTTCAGCCTCACAGACTACTGTGAGAATTTTTATGCCAATCAGTTCAACTGGAACTCTCATGAGGTCTGGTTTGTAAAAGACAGAGATTTCACTCTTGGGGTGGGTGTGGGGGGGCGTGGGGTGCAGTATTGAGCCAGGGAGGTTGGGGAGAGGACAGGGAGTGGAGACGTTTGCAGGAAAGCCTTGTTGAAATCGTGGAGGCTGAGGTGGACTATGACCTCTGGGTCACTGGAAGAAAACTCCCCAGGAGGGGACAATGGCTATAGCAGCAGCTCTGAGTCACACAGCAGAAAGGCATTAAAGATTGGAGGCAAATAGCCTTACTACAAAGGACAAAATGGCATTCTCCTCCGAGTACCACCTGGTAGGCCTAGCATGCTGGGCCAGGGCTGCCGTTGTTTGGCTTGAAACTTGCCTGCTGGGAAAGAGGGCCCTTGACCCTGCTAATGGTTGATAATTTGGCCTCAGACAAACCTGCTCCCTTAAAGAGGGCCTCAGACAGAATAATTCAGATTAGGTGACAAGATGAACTCTGGAGTTCCTTCAAGGTCTCAAGAGCTGGGATCCTAGGGCTGCACAAGCTCCATTCCCACCACATACCTGTTCATTGGTGTCTCTGGAGGGAGGTGTATACGTTAAGAGCTGTCATGTGGTCCTTTTGGAAACGAGTTGAAAAGACTTGACTTCCCACTCATCTTCAAGGTGAGCCCTGCAGGAAACAGCTCAGAGTTCAACTGGTGCACCAGCAGGAGGTGATAAATCCTGACCCAGGAGACCAACCCCAAAACATCTTTCTTCCAGCATTCTGAAATACTTTATATAACCGTATGTATTTTAGAGGTGTATAAACGTGAGTTTGAGAACAATGGTTCCTAAGAATTCACTTTACAAACAAAAATATAAAAAAAGGTGGTGGTGGCAGGGGCAGGACACAAGGAACACCATTTTTTGTTTTGCTAAGATATTAAGGGAAAAACCCAAACCTGATCTATGATCATTGTTTCATGTTTAGCAAAACACTTTAATATAAAAGAAAAAAAAGTGAAAAGGATATAATCTCAGCATAAAGGACAGTCCTTTCATGCTGAATTTAGCTCTATGAAAAAAGGACCTCATTGCCCTTATTTCAGTGAGAAGTTCACCACAGAAGGACATTGGTCCACGATTGGCCCTGGGGACCCCTGGTTTACAGGAGTGTCCTTTGGTGGTCACTGGATCCACCCTGCTTCTCATTTGTCCATTTTAGCCACTAGCCCACACTACAAAGAAATGACTGTGATGTCTCCATCCTGCACCCACTGTGCCATGTTGATGTGGGAGAGGGAGACTCATGGACACAAATCAAACCTATAGCCCTTCTTTTCTATTTCCTTCCAACTTCAGAGAAACAATACAGTTCCTCTGCTCCTCAGATTCTTTCCCTTAAGAGCACTTCTGCCATAATGGCTGCCCAGAGGGTTGCTGCTAAAATAAAACTCCAGTGTCCACTCCCCTTCCCAGCCCCAGTGACATAGCACCCCTCCCCCAACACAGACACACACAGCCCCCCATGCCAGTTTTTATTCTTTGCTGCTCTGGAAATGTGTGGTCTTTGCCTTGTCCCACCCCACTGCACTCCCACTCCTCACCCCCCAGCCCCAAGCCCCTCTTTAACCCTCCTGTTATCTAGCATCTATCCTCACCCCTCTGGAATCACTTGAAAAATTGAAAAGCAACTTTTGGAAATCAAGGGGCCTTCTCTTGGTTGTCCTCAAACTCAACCTGTGATCCTTAAAATGTTCCTGTGCTCCTGTAAACGAGGCTCTGCCTGCCTGGCCACGTCTCATTGTGTCCCTTCTCTCTTTTCTCACTCTTCTCTCCACTCCCCAAACCTCTCTGCCGCCAGAGCTCTGTGACTGACGGTGCAGCCTGCTTTTCCAGAGCCACAGCCGGAAGAGGACAGGAGAGCCCTGCCTGGGCTGGCGCTTCATTCGCTCTTCCTGGAACGTGCAGAGATGTGGAGACAGTGTCAGTCCTGTCCGGCAGCATCAGTCGTTCTGAGTTTGGCCTTGATTTGTCGGCTTTTATTCAGTTTCTCACCTAACCCTAGCTTTCTGTACCCAACACCAGTGCCTTCCTGAAAGCCTCCCAGGCGTACACTACCCTGCTGCCTGCTTCTGTGGGCGGGAAGGATAACACTACATGGTTGCTGCCCTTTACAGGGCTTCCCAAATCCTGGTGTTTCAGTTACCTGGAGACAAGGCAGCTGGCAGGAACTCTGTGAGAGAGGGGTGGTAAATTAGGAGAACAGAAGTCAAGGAAGATCCCTGGCAGAAACTGAGAGAAAAGTGACCAGAGTGAAGCTTGTCTGGACTTCTGTGTAACACATTGGCTAATGTTTCGCCTGTCCTGAATCACCCTGGCATTACCAACAAAGAATAATGCGTGATCCTTCTTGAAGTAAAAGGAATTTAGTAATGCTTCATAGAAAATTCTATTGTAAATATTGTGCCCTATCTCAAAATGTTTTTTTTTTTTTAAATAAGGAACGTTGTTAATTCACTGCAAGCCCACTCAGCCACTGAAGAATTTAGGGTATTTAGCTGTAGAGCTTTGTAATGAACAAGTAGCTCAATTATTCTACTTTCATTATACAATGTATCAGACATTCTTTGGCATCAAGGAATTAAAGCATATTTTCTCTGGCAAATGGCAACAATTTGAAGACATATCCTACATAAGTGGTTCTTGAGTAAATGTAGCTCCATTTTAAAATAGGGATTTCCACATGATTTAACCTCTTGTGGTCTGGTCCCAGCTGGTTCATTCAAGGACGGGAGAGAGCATTATTTAGTGAAGACTTGCCAATTTTGTGTTTAAAATAATTTGCACAGACAGTCAACAGTGTTTTGCACCAGGCATTGGACCACTAAGCTTTGTTCCCACAACTCAGCAGATCATTTTGGCCCCTTCCCCTTTTCTATCCATCACTCCTCTGGAAGCTGACCTTTCTACCCGAGACTACCATGGCCTGTGGAGCACTCGGCCCTAGCAATCCCAGCCTCCCCTCAACCCTGGACTAACAGCCAGAGAGCCTGGGGACTGGGAACTAGGCCTGTGAAGGCTAGAGGATGGCAGTCAGGGAAAAAAAAAGAAAAAATGCTTCTCTTGAGGAGAAAGCTGCCCTCCACCCACACAGAGAGACCCAGACCTTTCCCAACATACATGTATAAGCAAGCCCCCACTAGCCTATGCTCCTTTGGGCAGTTTAGAAAAAGGTGTCGCATCTGGATGGACCCGGGACTAAGCAAGAAAGCAGGAGCAGGATTTCATTCCCACTTGGCCCCTGCACCTTCGGCCCTAAGTAAAGAGTTCTTTTCCTTCGCCTTTAACATTGTTTCTCCTGATTCAGAGGCTGATGAAATGGGTAAGACCAAGAAACAGTTTACATCCACAAAAGTTCGATATGATTGGCCCCTTTTGGAACATGCTCAGAGCTTTCTACAGATTCGGGGATCCTCAAGGCTCCTTGTCAGTCTGAGCCATTACTGCTCCCACACAGAGTGGCAGGTTGGTTGAGGTGATCACCAAGATTCTAGCATCATGTTAGAGATATGCTACTTTTACAGCCAGTGATGGTGGCAGAATGACCCCCACCAGAGAGTTTGAGTTGAAAGGGAGGTGCTGTAAAACTGTCGCTTCTGAAGTATGGTCTGCCCAGGCCAATAAATAATCTGGTTGGGGATGATTTCTCTCTTTGCACACTGCAAGAATTATGAGATGATTAAAGCTGTGCAATCCTGCTTGAAGGAGGGAGGGTCCCCTCCCCCACTCTCCCCCCCTCCCCCACCTCTTCCAGTTCTCTCCTCTTTGACTCTTCTTGAAAGAAGAGTCCACACTTGCTGCTCAGCAGCTCCTCTGCTCACCACCTGATGGAATCTGACTGATGGGAGAGCAGAAGTGTTCTCTAGAGGTTGAAGCCACTAGCGTGCTCTTGCATCTTCAGCTTGTCAGGATAGCGCTCCAAGCTCATGGCTCCTTGCTCCTGTCTTCACATTGCCCTCCTTGGACTCTCCAGTTAAATGGTCCACTCCTGATCCTCCTCCTACCCCCATGGCTTCTTTTCTGCTTCTTCATTAGTTCCTAAACCTAGGGTGTCCCTCAGGGTGGTGGCCTATACCTTCTTTCCTGACCTCTGTCTATGCTGGAGACGTGACGTGTCCAAGTGGCTGATGCCCAGGTTTGTCTCTCCAGGTCCTGATCTATCTACAGATCTTTAAGCCCACAGCTCTTGACTGCTGACTGAACTGCTGTCTATCCTGCCAGCCCCTCAACCTGTTCAAAGTGGTCATCTTCCCTCTCTATTTGCTCCTCTTTCTGGCTTCTCTAAAACACTCTGCACCGCCAAGGGCAAGGACTTTGGGCTCATGCTCCTAGACTGGACTCTGGCTCTGCACTTTAATGGGTAGCCTTTGAGGCAAGGACCCTGTTTCTCAGGTTCCCTGTAGGCTTCCAATGCTCCTTCCATAGTAAGCACTTGCTAGATGTTGGTCACCTTGTCCATTTCTTCTTAGCATGAACATCTTTCCTATAAAGGGGGTTTGCCTCATCCCTGGGTGATTCCTGAGAAACTGAGTGGGAACTTCAATAGAAACAGGGATTAGGAGAGAGTGGGCTCACAGGGGAAGGCACTATTCAAAAGACGTTTTTGCAGTTACCTAGTTGTTTAACATAATAATGCTCTTTCCCTTCCCCTACACCTCCCCAGATTCATGTCAGTTCTTCTGAACCATCTCTTACATTGGTTGCCTCCTTTCCACCTTGAGGGGAAGTTATCCAAGTCCATGTGACCAGTCTCTCTGCCTTCAGGCTCTGCCTGTCCAGTCCATCTTGCCCCCCTGTGGCCTTCCTGCTTGAACACCGGCAGTGACCCCACCCCCATTCCATACCTTCACTTTAAGGTTTCAGATCTGCCACCAACCCAGTTTTCTGCCAAACCTTGACTGGTTCAATCACAGGGCATGCTGGGATGAAAGTGGCATAGAATCTGGCATTTGGTGGGGAGGATAGCCAGTGTTCTACCCAATGGCATCCAGTCTAGAGCTTTTTGGGTCCTGGCGATGCTCAAAGTGAAGTGGGGGCTTTACCTGCACCAAGGTCCTGAACTCTTGCCCTCAGGACAGGGGTCATGGCAGGTCTTGGGCAGGGAAGCAAACCTGTGCCCCCGCAGAGCCAGTGAGAAATCAAGGCATCACAAAAGGACCAGCTGGAAATCCAGACAGAGTCAGGGAATGGAGAAAAAATTCCAGCCTCCATGTGGAGAGCAACGTGACAAAGGAGAGGGAGGGAAGAAAGCAGGGCTGTGATCCTGGGCTTTAGGCAGTAAGATGAATTCTGGAGTCTGAAGGCAGAACCTCAGCTGTTTATCTTTTTGTTTCCTGGCTTTAGGTGAGAATCTGGCAAATATTGCTTATTTGGTTTTACACCTCTCACTAGCTTTCTCTCCTGCCACAGATGGCACTGGGTCCTATGAAATCTTTTACATCATCTGATGAGCAGGAATTCTCACAACAAAGACAGAAGACAGATGGGTGATGTTTTGTCATAAACCTCCATCTTAGGTATTGAACAGTACACTCAGCCAGTGCGAGAAAACTTTTTTCAACTTTCTTGGAGGTTTGGGAATAATAAAATACTCTTTATCATTGTCATTTGGTCAAAATGCATTCT